CAACATAAACCATTGATAAGTTATCATTCAATAACTTAAAGTTTTTTGGTTCAATCCATTTTCGGAGTTCACTATCAATTCTGAAAATAAAAATAGATGATTATTTTACTTTCAAAGTTCCAAATAAGATACTAAACAAATAACTATAATTATAATTAAAAACACTATAAAAAATAAATTTAAAATTGTACAATTTCCATACTTTCAATTAAATATTTTTATCAAGTAGATACATAATTTAACAATAAAATTTATTTTTAAATAATTGCAAAACAAATACCAAATTATCTACCATACACTAGTATTTTAGATTCTGAGCAGAGCAATAAATTAATTGATTTAACAATGAAAAAAAAAGTTACGCTATATAAAGTCATGAGATATTATGATTTATATTATTTTTTTATTCAATTATGACATTTTATTTATAGAAAACAATATCTCCATTAATTTTTTATATGCAATGATTTATTATTGAATTAGAATATAACACACAGATTAATATTATATGATCAACATCCTTTTGTAGAAAGAACAGAACGGAATATGGTACCCACTAGTCTACCTTTTTTAAATACTAATATACTTTATAAAATCTAAATATCTTTAATTCAAAATTATTTTTTAATTTATCCACTTTATTAAATGCATTATACCAACCTTTTTGATTCAGATACATTTATAAATGTTGGACATATCAAATGTTCAGTAGTGTTTAATGACGAATTAGTATCTTCAAAATCACTGACCCATAATAGATTTCTGCTATGAAAGTTTATGTTTTCAATATTTTTTGTTTTGTAATCTTTCCCAAGATTCATTTGAATTTCTGATTTATCAAATTGTCTTATATTGAAAAGCCTAAGGAAGAAAACATTTTTTAAATTAAAAATATAAATATGTGTTATCAGTAATTACCCTGATGGTACAATATTTAAGGAAATCATTATAACTACTGATAATATGGCTGTAGCTTTTTTGGCTTTTTTGATTATAGGTCTGTCAGTTATTGAAGATAATTTGTCAAAAATTTTGAGCCTTTCCTTCAATGCTGAATTTTGCTAAGTAGAAAGGAATATTGTTTTAATAAAATTAATGGTAAATAATTGTGTACTATTAAGTTGAAAACATATTTAATTGACTAACAATTTTCAATTCCAAATTTTCTTTTTCCAATATGGTGATTTTTTCTTCTAATGATGTAACATATTCTTTTTTCTTTTTACGAGATAAACTTGCTGCTTCTCGATTTCGTATCATGCGTTGATGTCGTTTTATTGCACTTAACTTATCAATACATATTTAATGTAAACAATTAAAACATTAATATCATAATCTGTTAATTTTAATAATTAATTTTATACTTGATTATATTGTAAAGTAGTAGTAGAATTTTTAGGCTTTGCTAAATCAATCTCAACTGCTGGCAATGTCTTCTTATTTACTTCTGCAGTACTTTTTACTATTGGTATTGAAGATGGTACACTTAAATCAACATGTTTTTGTTTTTGTAATTTGGTTATTTTTGAAAATTGATCTGGAGTTAGTATAATCTTTTGTGGGAAAGTTTTTGCTAAAAATTTAAAAATCAACTACATTTAAAACATATAATTTATCATAAATTTAACATAAATTATGTTTTTATCATAMATCTGACATTTAGTCACTACATATTAATCAACATTGCATGATATAATATGTACAATAAAGAATTAAAATTGGACCCCCAAATATAAACAAAAAGGTTGAATTTTTTTTTTACTTTGTGATGTACCTTACAAAGGTGTTCAAGGTAAATGGATATTTTATTTATTCTGGAGTGGTTTGTTAAAAATAGTTAAAAATTTCCTATAACTATCCCTTAATTTGGAGACTAAATGTCAGGGGACTTTGCGTCCTAATAAAGTTTTTATATTACTAATTACCAAATGATTTTGAAATCGTAACTGGAGATTGATTAGTTTGATCAGTCAGCATTGAAGAAACATTGACTAATAAATGTAATAAAATATCAAAATTAATAACAACATTAAAAAAACCAATTTTAAAAATAATTTGTCAAAATATAATTTACAATTTTTATTTATTAAAATATTGTTGGTTCTAGAAGCTGCATTTAAAATTGGTTTAATTGGAGCAGGAGATATTTTCATTTTTGGAAGTGTTTGAATTCCACTCATAGAATTAAGAGTGATTACAGTATTAGTATCACAATTAGTATTTATATTTGGTAATATAATTCTTGGTAATACCTTTTTAAACAATTACAAAAATAAGAAAATTATCATATTAAAAATAATAAATATATTATAGCAAATACTTGGTTTGAATCAAATGATGATTGTGAATCACCGCTTGGCATTGACCCGTTTGAAGAAGGAGATGATGGAGGTGATGTAAATTTTTTTTCCAAATCAATACCTAAAACATAGAAATAATTTATTCTACAGATAAAAGAATATATTTTGTAAAAATATTACCATTTCCAAAACAGGATTCAATGTTCCATTGCATCATATGATCAGTATCTAGATCACTAGCTTCTGTATTAAATTTTATATCATCCCCAAAATAAGGTGACAATGGTTCCATCTTAAACTCATCAAACTGAAATGAAAAAAAAAAAACTGTTTAGTTAATAATTATTGTTTATAATGTATGACAAAAAATAATGCTTATTCAGTATTTATTTTAATGTTTATTATAACATAACATAAGCTTACTTCAAAAAGTTCATCTTTAGGTTCAACCAATACATCCATTGTTTCTAAAAAAAATACAATTTTTACTTCAGGCTAAAACTTARTTATCTCTTTGCACAGGTTATTAACAATCATTAATCAACAAGTATTAATTAGATATAAAAAAAAAATGTTTAAAATTACATAATAAAGAGGTTTTTTTATAAAATGAATTATTATGGATCTTAATTATTTTTTAATATTTTAAGATCCTTTAAATTTAAAGACATTTTTACAAAGTAATGATACAGTCAAATGGTATTCATTTTGATTTTACTTTAATGATTATTATTTTAATATAACA